TATGATGCATGATGAAGTGTGATATGGCACTTGAAAGGAGGGTATCTCTCGTAACGATTCACAAAAGGTTTAGTTCCAGCAAGAAGACGGTATCCAAGGTGGGTATTAAGATTATGAATGACGAAATCCTGCAGATAGCACCTTGTTCAGTTATAGTAATTAAATTTTTCTTATCTAACTATTTTTTTTTCCATATAATAATATATGAGGTAAGTTTCCTTCACTTCATTTTTAACGCATAACTAGTATATGCTAATGGTCCAAGAATATTTAGACCGATTTAGAACCGTTATCATTATTCAATTACAATATTTTTTGTTGCACTACAAATTAAAGATGATAGTTTGCAATAAAAGGTAATTGCTACGACGGTAATTAAGTAAGATTTCTTCCTCTAACTTCTTTAACTTATATATTACCGTAATCCTACCTCCTCTATATGCATGCACAACTTCGAATACAGATAATTGTTAGTTTATACAAACTAATATTTATATTTCATAGTTGTGGTAAAATTAATTTATGTATTATTATAATATTTTTGTTATGTTAAATTTGAAAAAATTTGAGTATGTGATACTTGATTTGTTTTTCACCATCCCGATGAGGCTTGAATGAAAATTTATAAAACAATATGTAATCACAAAGTGGTATATTTTTAAATGCTCGAGGGTGAATATTAGTAAACTTTTGACTGAGGGTAAGACGGTGGGTTCAAGTCCCAACGCACCATAAGGGTAAGACATTGGGTTCGAGTCCTGGTGCACCATAATGATAAGAGTTGACTCTGAGTCCCAACTCATTATGGCCTAACATGTCTTTATATGGGTAAGGCATTGGGTTTGAGTCCCAATGCACCATATTTGATATAATGATGACTAAAGAAAAATAATGTATTTTTCATGAAAATGCATGAAGTTTGTCCCACTTGATTTGCTCCACTCTTGAAGTGAATGTGATAACGGTGCATAGTAAGTCTAAATGAAGACAAGTGGTTGACTAATGAACGTGGGCGTGCCAAAGACCAAAACAATAATAGTCATCGTTATGATAATTATAAAAAGGAGAACAATAAGGGTTCTCAAAATAAACCTTCAAAGGTGAAGAAAATGTGTATCAATTTGGTATGTAAATATAAGGCACGTTCATATGATTATAGTCCATTCGTTGAAAATATGACTTGTGATAAGCATTGTAAATGCAGGCTCATTCCTGAAAGTAAATGCTGAAATATATATATGATAAAAATTATGCATAAGAATGTGCTTATGCATGGTTGGATAAATACCACAACCACCTCTAAGGGAGGTATGAGAGAAATAAAGATAATGAATATTACAACATGGTTACATGAATATGTCATTGGTCGCTTACACGTGGTACGCCAAAAAATATTGGGACATGCCTTATAAAAGGTTACTAAAGGCAAAAGTAAAGCAATAAATGATTTTGCTTATGATGATTTTGACCATGACAATTATTATGATATGATTTTCTCCGTGAAGGAGACATTCACCATATGATTGGTGTGACAAAAGATCTTGTAGTACAAAATCAATTAAGAGCTCCAGAAGAGCTAATTTGTTACTACCCGGATGAATGAAATTGTTCATGACATTGATATTGTAGTAAGTCTCAAAAGAAACTTTTTGAGTTTCAAATGTATTAGCCAAAGTGGTTGGCATATTGAGACTATAAATGAAATGAAGATTGATTATCTTCATATTACTATAACATACCGGGTAAATATAAAAGGTTACCCGACTTTTCTTCTATTTGTACTACAGATGTATAAGCATGATATGAAATCACATGCCATAGTAAATTAAATGTTTACTGAAATAAATATCAGTTGGCATGACCGGTTGGCCATCCCGGTTTATTGATGCGAAAATTAATTGAGAATTCACATTGGCATATATTGAAGAAATATAAGATTCTTCAAGAATTCTCTTGTGCTGCTTATTCTCATGATATACCAGTTAAGGTCGGGATTGAATCCCTTGATTTCTGGAACGAATAGAAGGTGATATATATATGGGCTCAGTCACCTGGTATGTGGACCGTTTACTATTATATGATTTTAATAGATGCATCTATTGTATGGTCGCATGTGTGTTTTCAACTTGCAGTTTGGATTTTGCAAGATTGATTGCTCAAATTATTAGAGCAGAGTTCCAGAAAATAAATTTATCTTGATAATGGTGGTTTAAATCCAAGTTGGTTTAGTAGAGATTGTATGCCTCAAATTATAGCTAAACCATTGGTTATGAGAACAAAATTACAAAAAAAAAAATTGGTATGAGATGTATTATTTAACATAGAGCAGCACTTGTACGCATCTAGCCAATAAATTCTCCCCATCACAATTGGTTCAGGGTCAGGAACCAAATATTTCCATCTAGAAATATGGATGTGCTATATGATTTAATTGTGCTGCCACAATGCACAAAGATGGGTTCCCAAAGAAAGTTGGGAATTGTGTTGGTGATCCCAACATTAGGGGGAGAAAATGGGCAGCTGAAAAAGTAATACATGGAATGAATTATTATGAGTTCACCTAGATCCTCGTACAAGAAAATGTGAACTTGAAGTTCAAGTGATAATTCATTTGCAAAATATTTCCATGCGCATTTGCTGACCCAAACTAAATGTCATATTTCAGCTACTAATGCTCCAAATAGAATAAAGTCCATGATGGACATAGTCTATGGAACTCTTGAAGCGTAATAGACTAATCGGTTCCAAAGATAAAAATCCTTGAAGAAGGAGAGGAGCAAATGTTCAAGATGGTCATAATAAGGAGGCAAGTGCTTTATAAGAGCACCATGACATAACATTTTATAAGACCTCATGGGAGAGGCTCAGGTACCTGAAAATATTGAGATCTCGATAAGTTATGTCTTTATTGTGCTATGATGGGACCGATGTAAAATGATCGTCGACGATGTTGTTAATATAATGTAGCGCTCAATATTATTAATATTGACGAGGATCTTGAGCTCAAATCTGTCACGGAGTTTGGACAGATAAATGATTGGCCAAATGAAAAATAAGCAATAAAGATTGACTTCGTCTGGAAAAAATATGAAGTTGGACGGATAGTCCCAACAGCTGAAAGTATAAAGGCTATATGGAGATAATGAAATATGATTAGTATTATATTGTAAAAAAGAATCCTTGATATAGATTTGTTTATTCTAACAAAGATTGTCAAGGTTATGTTGGTTATACAAATGCAGGGCATGGTTTGTTGTTCAGATAATCTATTTGGTTGTGAGCGTAATGCCAAATTATGATATTCAACAAGATTTCAATTACATTGAAGATGATACTGCATGCATAGCTCAATGGAAAGAAGGACTATCGAAGGAGACATAATAAAACGTATTTCACTAAAGTTCTATTTCAGACATGGTTGGATGTTCAACAAATTTGTTCAAGTGATAATTTGGCAAACTTCTTCACAAGGCATTGCTAACCTCAACAATTGAGAAGTTGTTATACATGATTGGAATTTATCGTCTTTGAGATATCAAGTGATATTTTTGTCAGGGGGAGTATAGCATGCGCTGCACTCTTTTTCCCTTCGCACAGGTTTTGTCCCAATGGGTTTTCCTGGCAAGGTTTTTAACGAGGCAGCAGACAATGCGTATTACATGATATGTGTACTCTTTTTCCTTCACTAAGATTTTTTCCCACAGGGTTTTTTCTTAGTAAGGTTTTAACGAGGCACATTATCTATAGACATCCAAGGGGGAGTATTATGAAATATTATTTTATAGTGGATGTCTATAACCCCTAAAGAAGTTACTCCCACTACTTTTCTCCATTAAGTAGATAACTCCCACTACTTCTCACCATTATAGTTGTAACTCCCACACCACCATAACCTCCCCATGATCTTTCCCCATGATCTCAATAGTTAATACCATGTTTATGATATCCCTTTGTATACCTCAATGTCATCCTATAAATAGAGGGTTGGACATCATATTGTACACACTTGAATACTTGAAAGAAATAGAATCTTTTCTCTCTTACTCCCTACATTCTTATCTATTTTCTTGTTTTATGTTATTACTTTTAGCTTAAATTATTTGTCATTTTAGAAGTTCAAGACAAAATTGATTGTTTTATTCCTTTTTTACCCTTAGTAATAATTGTTCTTAAAGATATAGATAACACACAAATAGAATAAATATTCAATAAAAAGAGATTGTATCTTAGACATAAATAAGGGTAGAATAGTGTAACCCCTTTCCTAATTAGTACTCCCTCTGGTCCACAATAAGTGACCAATTTGTTTTCTTATTCTGGTCCAAAATAAGTGTCCATTTATATAACCAAGAAACAATTCAATTTGTTTTTCCAAAATTACCCTCATGTACGTATCCCTAAAAAGTCTTTTACTTCCTCATATTAACTATGCTGCAACGTTTAATTAAGGGTAGTTTAGTCATACTAATTACTTTTGTCTAGAATTTAGTATTTCCTTAATGGGTGTGCCAAAAGCAAATTAGTCACTTATTGTGGACCAGGGGGAGTATTTCTTAAGGGGCGTGTAAAAGAGAAATACGACACATAATGTGAGACAGAGGGAGTATAAAGATGGTTTAACTGAATGAGTCACCACCAAAGGATGTGGTGCAGTGGATGAGGCTGCTCCTCCCTTAACCAGAGATCTCGGGTTTGAGCCCTTGGTAGGGAAAAATCCTTGGTAGGGAGCGCTTCCCCCGAATGGGGCCCTACGCGGCGCGAATCCGGATATAGTCGGGCTCCAGTGCGGATACCGGACACCAATTGGGAAACCAAAAAAAACTAAATGAGTTAACATTGACATTAGTAAAAGAGAACCCTCTTTCTTTCCGGGAGGGGGAATTAGAAATGAAGTAAAGAAAAGATTGTGAAATTAAAAATGATTGCTTTCAAAAATTGAGAATTCAATTTCCCTATAGTCAATACCAAAGTGTGAATATCAAGAAATTAAGTTTCACGAATTAAAGATTACAAATATTGATTTTTCTGCGAAGGCAAAGGTAAGCTAAGAAACGATAAGCAAGAGCCATTGCTATCAAAACCCAAACTTCTTTTAAGCCACCTTTTAAATTGACTGTGTCAAATGATGGAGAACTCTGTAGGGTTCTGCATCCTCCTTTGCTTTCACAGTCATATAATTCATCTCCTGAGTATTGCACTTTCAACAGCAGCCTAAATCCATAGTACATGAATGATAAATACTTTAGCCACCTCATGAATTTTGGTATATGCTGCAAAACAATACACAAGTTCAGTTACTTAAATGTGACAGAAAAGATTATTTTTTGACTTCACTATTATAGCGAGTAACGTTCAATTACTTTAATGTGACAAGAAGATAGTTTTATGACTCCGTTGTTATAGCGGATAAGAATTCAGTGAACCTATATAAAATTAGTCTCATGCTTGTACTTCTATTATTGTTGGGCGTGGGAACAAGTCCCAGATTCGTAGATTGGGAGCCTACATATAAGGTGTAGGGACCTCTTAATGGTGTGAGGTCGAAACCGCGCTGGCTTGGTCAAAGCGGACAATATTTGGTGTTAAGACTATCTTTGGGCTGTTTTAGCCCAACAATTATCAAGTTATCCCATTTGTTGACAAGTTTGACAGATTCTTGAGCAGAATTTTTCTCAATCCTTTGCTAGCAATCATATAGTAATAGTGATTTACTGTTTGCAAAATCATTTACCAAAGGAGACATGTTTTATTTTCTGAGCTTCATTTGTTATTGACATATGATACAAGAAGTATCATCAATTTTAACTTGAGTAGGATTCACTTGGGCCAACATATCATTTTTGACAATGATTAAGAATGTAATACTACTATGCTGTAATTTGGATACCTGAACATAGTAACCTCCAGTGAGAAGAAACAACATCAATATCAGGGAGGCGACCATCCCCGCCCTTCTAATACTCATAACTGCAGCTCCAAAAAGCTCTCCAGCTCCCTATCATCAAATAACAAATCCATTCATCTTTCCCAAAAATGAGAGCTTTTTTTGGTTCGCGAATTTAAAATGATTGGATTTACCTGGCTGGTTATTGCAATTAATAGTGTTGCACCCAATGTTAAGAAAAAACATTGGACAGTTCTCTTGAATCCAGCCATGAAGTAGAGAATGCACATGAAACATGTCGGATATAAAACATGCGCTACCATGTCACACAATGTGCTGCAGACGTAGTAGACGCTTAATCTATACATGTCTGCTTTCCTTTCCTTCACCAAATAGATCTTCTCAAATGGGAAAACATATACTGCTCCAAAAATTGATGAAGAAGTCCAGAATATACAGATGTAGAACATTAAACCAATCTGCAATGCAGGTTAAATTAAAGTAAACTTTCTTGAAGATGCTATTATAACAAGGAGAAAAAAAAATTGAATAGTGGGATTTGCCTGATCACGAAGTTGAGCTTCAGTTGCAGTTGAGGATTTCCACCAAAGAAGGCCGAGCAATACTGCAACTCCAAGCGATTGAACTAACCGCAACTTGTCAAAATAATCTCTACATCTCTCCTTGTATGTTCGCTTTGACAGTATCCTGAATTGTTCCCACCAGGATATAGTCCAATCTTTCTTTACTTTAACGGCCATTTGAAGATGCTCTGGTGCCTTAGCGATTTGATGGTTCTCTTTTGGTTCCAACTGGATTTTGTACTTGTGTTGCAGATACTAATTATGGTCATAGACACAATTCTGTGAAAGTATGTCCAATAAAGAGCTTTCAAAGAAACTAAAGAAATGTAACATCAGAACAAGTACAAATTAGAATCTTACTCTAATTACAACCCTCTCTTGTTCAGATGTGCATTGAGGTGGATATAGATCATCAGGAATACTAATGTCGTTTACTTGCCCCGTTGCTAAATCCAGCAAGAACTCTGCTGGATTCATTGCAATTTCTGGAATGAAACCTAGAGACGAGAAGTACTCCATCGATTCCCTGGCCTTACCATAATAGACCGGATAACCTTCTGATATCAACAAGATTTTTTCAAACATGTGAAAAATCCTGCTTGAGGGCTGGTGAATTGTTGTTATGATTGTCTTTCCCATCTGACGAATAAAATAAGTTAGTATTTCGCCAACTTAATCATAATGCAGAGCCTAATGGTGCTTTCAAAAAATGCCACCTTTGGCTATAGCTAAAACAAGAAAAGAAACTAAATACAGGAGAGTATTGAAACAAAATGAAATGACTATATGAATATATTGCAACAAAAGAATCCATCTAAAAAGATGGAATTATGTAGCAAATTGTGAAAATATGGCTGAAGCCTTTACCTTAGCAAGCCCTTGAAGAATTTGAAGTAGTCTATTTGCGGAGGTAGAATCAAGGCCTGAAGTTGGTTCGTCGAGCAAGAGGAGAGAAGGATCAACAAGGATTTCATGACCTATGCTAGCTCTTTTTCTTTCTCCCCCAGAAACACCTTTAACGAGTCCTCCACCTATTCTCGTGTGACGACATCTATGATTTTGAAATTCATGAATGAACAGTTGCAACAATCATGTTAAGTTTCTTTTAGCAGAGGTGCAGTATGTATTGAAGTTCATGCAAAGGTAGCTCACATACCTTTCCAAGCCTAATTCCTTAATAATAACTTCTGCTCTTTCATACTTCTGACGTCGACTCATCTTACTTGGAAGTCTTAAGAATGCAGCAAAAACTAAGGTTTCTTCAACAGTCAATTGCGGAAAAAGCACATCATCTTGTGTCACGAAACCCACCCTAATATTAGCACATATCACAAACAGAAGTCAATACAAAATCATGTACATTGAAAGAAAAACTTGGACCTACTCCTGGTTTTAAGGCAACAGAATAAAAAGAGTCAAAAAGAAGTTATTGATGGATAGGTAACACCTTCTTTTAAGAGCCGGATTATATGGAATGTCATTGTAAGTGACGGTTCCTCTGACATTTTCGTGCAGTCTTCCGCCCAATATCTTTAACAAAGTTGTTTTTCCACTGCCAGAAGGCCCCATTAAGGCAAGAATTTGACCAGGACCAACGCTTCCTGTTATACCCTTGAGTATATGCTTGTAATTGTCATGCTCAAACTGGGAAGCAACCTTTGATACAACTGCCTTGACAGGATTGTTGGAGAAAGCTTGGTTAATCTTCACCTTGTACTCCACATTTGCAAACTGCATTTGTAACCACTCACATTACAGAAGCCAAAACTCTTAAACTTATATCATAAATATAGTGATGCCAAATGATGCCGTAAGGGCGAAGCCGCCCTTTGCTAAGGGTGGTCAATTGACCAACCTTCGTCGAAATATTATGAAAAATTACATTATGTATAAAAAAAAATATTGATTTTAGATGTATATAATATATATTGAATACCATTTGTCGGAGATTTTTTTAATTCAAGTCTGAATATTCTTGGAGAAATTTCTGGCTTCACCAGGCGGGAGCATAGCAGCTCGGGTGAAGCCTTGGTCCGCAGATCATGCCCTGCTCCGCCCTATTTAACATTTTTTCCTACTTACAACCTGCCCGACCCTCCATGCTCTGCCCCGTTTAACTTCTTTTTTTTTCCTACTTACAACCTGTCCCATTCTGCCCGCCTCGCTTAAGTTTCCCTTTGGCATTTTTATATATCTCTTAATGTAAACACAAAATAAAACAGATAGTGAAGAGAAATGTGTTGAATAAAATTCATATAGAAAACCTTCAGGAACTAAAATTGTATTTTTCGAAAGAAGGAATGCCCAGCTTAAAAGAACACAGAACTAGGGAATAAAAGAAAAACACTTAAGAAGCCCACAAATAATTGATAAAATTAATCTAAATGAAATAATATTTGGTTGGAGCAAAATGTACCTTGAGAAATATGGGAATGGGTTGATCATTATGAGTGATAGATGTATTATGGTCTACTTCTATATCAATTTCAGAACAACTTCTGTTTCTAAGATAAGCTTGAGACATGAACTCTATGTTATGGCCGAAACCATTGCTTCCAGCAATCTGCATGGAGCCAACAGTTGGCGGGGACAATGACAAATCCTCGATTTCATCTTGTGCTACTTGCTCCATTGTATCATGAAAATAGAAAAATTGAGAACTTTTTCAATGGTGTTGGACAAAGTTCATGGCTATTATATATGGTAGAGAAGCTGATCCAAACCAGAAATTTGCCTAAATCTTGAAACTTGTTGAAACACATGCTTTCTATTTGAAAACTAGAAAACTTGTTGGTGCTCTTGATGCATCGTGTGATCTTTGAGGTTATTTTCTAGTTATGGCACAGCCTTGTTGCTCTGCACTTGAATAAATTTATTTTTATACCTATGTATACCACATAAAATTTTCAAATAGTAACAAAATTAGACCTTTTAATCACACCTAAAAACTCTAGGAAATGAGTATCTCTAGAAAAATACAAAACATTTTACAATTAAGACAAATTACATAAAATTAATAGAAATAGGCAATATTGTCCGGAAAAATGGAGGATATCAATAAAATATTAAAGAGGAAAAATTATTAGAAGTATTTAAAATGAAAGAAAGCTTAAAAGGAACTATACTCCTCAGAGGGGAGCTAGCTTATAAGGTGCGGGTTCCACCGAACTCAGTCACTTTTGCTTAAACATGTATTTGTATTATAAAATTCATTAAATATATATAAATATTTAATTGCGAACCCAATAACTAAGGCAGTAAATATGGGTAATGCGGCAATTTCAGAACCCGTAAACTTCAAATCTTGGCTCCGCCTATGATACTCTTGGGAAATAACTTGAAAAAAAAATGACAAAGAGGAGATAGAAATGCTTAAATGCAGCGTATAGAGATAATGTATTATTCATTTATTCTAACTCAGGTAACTTTCAATTTATGTAATCACTAAATTGAAATGTCATAATATTTATATTAGCTATAAAAAATTTAAAATTTACAATCTTAAATATCTAATACTAAGCGTCAAATAATAATTGTAAAGTGAAGTTGTATTTAAATATAAAAATATGTCACTTTATTAAATTGTTAATATAAAAAACTATGTCACATAAAATAAAATATAAATAATAATACTACCTAAGAAAATGAACTTTATAGAGGATGTCAAATGAAAATGAACTGTATAAGCTATCCCCTCTAGCTCTAAAGGTCTGCAGAGACAAAATGGAAAAATCTCAAGAGATTCTACTCAACTCCATCGCCAACTCAGGGGTGACGATACCTCCCGGCATCTCATCGGTCAAAGATCTTACGCCGGAAACATTATTCTTTATCTCCTCCCAGTCATTGCACCTCATTGACCAAAATTCATCCTTTACCTCTTCCTTGCCGGAGAACTCAGTGTCCGACCGCTTAAAGCTCTGCTCCGACCTTGCCTCCGCCTTCAAAACCCTAGGTTTCGTCGGTGACATCAGCTTCCACAAGGTTTTACTAACTACTACTGTTACATACCTCTCCATTTTCTTCTTCTTCTTTTGATCTTATATCTACTACGCCGTCGTTTTGCTGGCATTTTGCACAATTAATAACTGCTTTTTGCAAACGAAACCGAATTTGATAAGTATTTATAGTATTTTTTATGAGTTGGAACTTTTATATTTTATTTTTACTTCCAGAGATCTCAATGTTTATTCTGTTGAAGTTTTGTTTAATCTGTCAAATTATCTTCGTTCGTAGTAGGTGTTGCATCTAAGTGCGTCTTGTTAAAGGAATTAATTGATTTTGATGTGCATTAGTGCTTGATCAGGCAGTGTTACCAAAAGCCTCCTCTTTGCCGCTTATATGAAGCAATGCGAAACGAGGGGTTATCGCTTCCTTGGTGAAGACATGTGCTTCCTTTAATTTGATGACTTCACAAAGTGAATTAAACCAAAAGTTATCAGTTCTTTAAATCTCAACTTTGAAGAGTTGGACTAATATTGACATTATTGTATATTTGAGGTTGAAATTAGTTATGTTAATTACAATTTGACTAATATATTACGAAATTTATTTTTTTTAAATGATAATGGTGTCTGGGCCAACTTGCGAGCAACTCGACAATTCCACTAAGGTACCGGGTAACTCTGTCATCCAAGGTTTAGGCAAATGGAAAGGAATCACCTAGTGTTTTTTGGCCTCCATTGGGATTTGAATTGGAGATGTCATGGTTCTCCTCCTATTTCATTGACCACTAGGCCACATTACTAAATTCATATATGTCTAGTTATTTTCTGTGATTGTGCGCTTCACTTCTCTATTTTCGCTTCAAGCTCCAAGGACTTTGTCGTTTTTCAGTTTTCACGCTGCTTTTAAAAATGCTGTGTTGCTACATGCGTCTGTTAGATTTGTCTACATTTGTGCTTAGAGCAAGCGTTATGTCTATTGCTTAGGCAGTTTCTTTATCCATCGGAAGAGGACTTGTACGAGTTGGTCCGATTCTTGGCTGGGAGACTGTCTGATGTTGAAGCTCGAAAAGATGCAGTTAGTGAATCTAAAAGAAGCCTTAAGACTCCAGAAGAAAATGTTGATGATACAGGACCACTGCCACATAAGGAGCTTTTGGGAAGAGTGGGTGATCCATTGATGATGACAGAAACACCAGAGTCGTCACAACGATCTTATCTTACCACGAATAAGATGGATGAGTTTTATAATGGTGTTCATATACCTGGAGAAGGTAGAGTTGACTCCAGCGAGGAGATATCAGGCGGTGAACAAGACGTCCTGGATATGGTGGAAGGCGTGAGGAGTTCTTTGAGGGAAAATGAACATGATTCTGAATATGGACTGCAATCAACTTCTCCGTGCGTGAATTTGCCTCAGGTACTTAATAGTAGGTGGATTGCATCTGATCTTTAGTGAATTTTTGGTAGACCTTTTAGGCTTTGAGGTAGATAGGTCGATGTTAATGGAGCGGACAAGCTGACAATTTAGAATTGGAGCATATTTAGGGAACAGACAATGATATTTGTTTTTGTGGTTAGGCTTTCAGAAAGACTACAGCATTAACTTCTCTTATTATTTTATGCCATTCTGCAGATGAACTGCAAAACAGAAACTTTACAAGACCAAAAGGAAATGCTCGTGGAGAAGTCAGTCTCAGGGTCTGTCGAATTACATGAACTTCAAGAAAAGCTTGGTTTGTTGAGAGCAGCAGTTAATATGGCTTCTAATGAAAGTTGTCCCACTGACTTTTATGTGAATCAACTAAACGATCCGGTCGAACTGAAAATGCGCAAAATTGTCGAAATGGAGAGCCATTGGTAGTATAATGATCTGTCGCTTTATTAAGCATCCCTAGAACACCTAAAAAAAAAAAGAGTGGAACGATTCAGTCTCATGCATGTTCTAGAGTTCTAACATCATTTCTTATATTTTTTTTTTGAAACTTGGATAACTATCTCAACTGTAGTTCTGCTTACATATAAAAAAGTTTTTGCTGGTTACAGATGCAAGCTCGGGATAACTTCTAAAGTCTCTTGCAGGAATGATAAGAGAAAGGCCCTTGAGCAGGAAAAGAGTTATCTTGAGGAAACGTTAAAAGCAACAGAGCCAGAGAGCTATTTAAAATATAAAAAGTTGGAAGAGATTGAGTTGGAGCTGGAGTTTATATTAGCTGAAAAGAAAAAAAGGTAGGTCATCATCAATTAAGTCATGCAGACTCTCCATCGCCTTTTAGATTACCTAGTTTGACTAGGAACAATATTGAGAGAAGAAATTGTGTTGTAGCCAATGAAAGAAGTAGCAGAAGAAATCATAGAATAGGAAACTCTATTATGTTCGATTTTGAATCGGTAAATGTATTAGAGGATAACAATTAATATGTGAAAAGTGGAATATTTAGTTGAAAATATGATACGGCATGATTAAGTTACTATACAACATTTTTGGTTCTTATCGGTTGGATTCTTTGAGAATAGAATCTGTCGTTACTCATTAGAGGAAAGAGGCTAAATAGTGTGGGATAGAGGGATATTTGTCTATATATAAATCAGAGCTTTTTACGCGGCTTAAAGCCTTAACATCTTACTGCATGTAAACTGTCAAGAATCTATGACTGGAACAGACACTAACTGCATTGCAGATTGTCATGGTTTTGTGAACCTTGAAAGCTGCTAGACTATATGGGTTACGAAGTTAACTCATTTCTGTAAGTATGTTGAGAAATTGCATCAAGGTGGTAACTTTGTCTGCTATCTGTCACTCTGCAGAGAGGATGAACTTATTATACTCTCAGCAAAGGCCGAGAAGCGGCCCGAATTGGAACCTAGGAGTACCTACATTCAGCGTATTGAAGAGATCACAAAAAACAGCCGGAAGCAGGATGCTGACATAGAAAGAATCTTAAAAGCAACAAGGGAGCTTCAGTTGGAGAGCAACTCTATCCAAGAACGGCTTAATCGAACTCATGCAGTGGTGGATGAGATGGTGTTCAGGTACAATCTTTTGATATGCTGGTGATTACAAAATTGGCTGTGACGCTGTCTTAATGAGAATGTAGATTTCTCTAATAATGTAAATTGTCTATATTTTTTTACAAGGGAGGCAAAAAAGGACCAGGTAGGACGGCAAGCTTACAGGATACTTACTAGCATCCATGACAGCTTTGAACAAATAGCCGAAAATCTTCTTGCAACGGATAGAGCCCGAAGAGAAGTGGCTGATTATGAAGGCAAGCTTGCAACTATGGCGTCTCGGACCGTTGATATTGACAAGCTGAAAGCAGACCTTGATACCATAAGGAGGGAAAATGATCTTCTTGAAGCACGTCTGTCCGAGAATTTGTCCAAAGACTCGTCACAAAGTGTAGGGTAGAACGGCCGAAGTTGATTGATTCTTTAAGATGAAAAGCTTGAATGTTGGGAACTCTTTTGCCGCATTTTTTGAACTGTGACACCACACACACACACAGTGAGTGAGTGATGATAATAAGGCTCCCCATTTGACGATATTGAGACTTGCTCTAAATGTTCTCACCCGAGTAACTATAGTTGACGTTGCCTGTAATCATGAGCCTTGAAGCAAACGTGAGGTTGCTTCCACATTCTGAAATGTGGGGGTCTGCTCTTCTTTATTTTTCCTTCAAATAATGAGAAGCCTGACTAAGGTTTTACCATTTTAAACATACGTCCATGATACTTTTTGATTCTTTTTTCTAAGCGAAATGTTTTAAATTGTTGGACATGAAACTACTCTTGAACATTACAGGCATTCTTTAAATAGTGACCCAATACATTTCAGAAAATAAGATTAAGTTGATACGACCATTCCCTTTATTATAGTTTAACCGAGTGGATGGAAGCAGCCAAGAAGGGAAGTTTTTAAATACCAAATCCCCACCTCACTCGAGGAGACTGATATCTGGGATAATTTGGTTGCTCACTCACTACTTTAACGAGTTCTTGATACTGTGGCTGAGTTGCCTCCTGCTCCTTAAACCTTCAAATTTCTATTAAAAATGGGAAAAAAATTTAAGTTCTACTCGCTGAGAGTGTAAGTATTGGATTGAAATGGATAGGAGTCGAATGGTTATGGAGAATCCATACAACCTGGTTGTAGCAGATTAATTACCTATTTCCAGGTTACAAATTAGAGAACGCGTTGGTTTTAAGTACTCTTGAACTGATAATAAAAAAAATCCTTATACCCTTCAGTAAGTAGCACTTAAAATTCTTTGAATGCCCCCTGTAGCTCAGTCAGAGTGCTATATTATGGGATATAGAGTAGTCGAGTGCGCTACTGGTAACTTTTGCTTCGCAAGCAATTGCATAGCTTTAATATATAACCTACTCTCAGGTGGCAGAGGCGTCCTTTTCTACACTGTTTTATTATCTTTAACTTCTACAACTGTTCTCACAACTATCAATCATGAGTTTCAAATCCTTCGCATTCCAAGTGGTTCTTGTCATCACCATCAACACATTTTCATATGAGTATTTTGTGTTAAAAGTTCTCCCTTTTGTGGTATGGCCTTTCACCTTTGGTTGGGAAATCACAGTGTTACTGTGGTGCCATTGCAGCTATTGGCGATTTTATAATGAATTGCTGTAAATATTTCATGCAAGCCGTGATCTCACGCGTTGTTCTTGGACAACTCAAGTATATCTTAAGTATATGTGGTGCCATTGCCGCTATTGGTGGAATATCAGCTAACACATACCTTAACCTGAAAGAAGCAAAAGAAAAGGCAAGTAACAATTTCCACAGCACAGTTTACCTCCTTCAAAACTCAGGAGTACAGAAGATGACAACACAAAAGAATCAATTTCTGGATGCAAGATGTTGTAACATATCAGCAGCTAATTTTGTCTTTGTTAATTGCATAAAAGGATCTTATTCATTAAACACACAAAGTTGGTGAAAATTAGTTCGCATGCACATTACCATCTTGTTGGAAAGAAAAATCAACACATCCAAGAAGGATCAAATGCCACCACGAGTAAATTGGAGAGAGGAGAAAGGGGAATAGCGGATATGTGCTATCTTTATAGTTACAGAGGCGCAAATGTCAAGCGTTTCAAGATGTAATAGTATCTGTCTAGTCAAAATTTGATATACAAGCTAGAAGGGGCAATGGAAACAATTAAGATATTTCACCTGCTCCACTCATATTTCAAAAAACCTCGGTCAGTCTCAAGAAGATTAGGGAATTGAGGAAAGCTAACTGCTAACTATCAAAAGCAAGAAACCCTGTTTTAGCTCCAAAGGTTAAAAATTCTACGTTCCAACGTGATCTCACTGAGAGTGCCTAGTTTCCAGCCACATCTTATATACACTTGGAAGAGGATGGCTTTGATCTATCAGTGATGTCTATATTGCAAACTTGAGTGATGCAAACAGAAAGTGTAGTTATGGTCTTTATTCTTCGAGGTTTTCTCTGTTCAACAATTTGTTGTTCCTATGAATATTTGCTTGGGGTTGTTGACAAGCACCAGATGTAGGAAGGTCAGATTCAACTGATCTGGTAACAGTTTGAGGTTGCTGGACCAGGGGCTGAACATTTGATGGTACAGCTATTGTCTGAGATGGATTAATTCCAGGAAAAGAACTATTAGCAGAATGTGCTGGTGCAAAACCAACTTGCTGGTCCTGAGGGAAGTTATAAAAGTGATTAGCCTGCAGCATTGATAGATCATGTCCAGTTGCCGAGGTCCTGAAATGGGAATCTTCATTCTGCATGCACAAAGATCAGGTGATATCTCCGTATCAGAAGTGGACATAAACCGGTATATGCTTTATAATAGATTCACATAATATGCCACATTTAAATCAAACAAGGATATGAGCTTCTAAAATAACAAATTTGAAACTCAAGCATGACGGTAGAAGTACAAGAATCATGAAGAGTTTGCTACTGAAGTAGGAAGGAATAGAAAGGAGATGGCTCCGTTGCATACTAAAATTAGTTAGAAAAGGAAAAAGGAAAAAAGAAACACAAACCTGTTTTTGCATGGAGTAAACATTCTTTTCTTTCAGCTCAGATGCACTGAGATCATCATTGCTAGCTGAACAAACAGGAGCTGTAGTTGCACTGTATGAGACAGTTGAGGACCCATATGAACTGTAGCTAGTAGGAACGCCGAAGTGGTTTAAGTTTCCAGCAATAGCTGCTGGTTTGTACAGAGACGGAAGAGGTAGTTTGACACCAGCAGCAGTAACTGATGGTGACATATAAAAGTTGGCAGCAGAAGGTTGCTGAGGGAAGCTACTCGGGCCCAGAAACTGGTGAGCACTCTGTGGCATGTAAAGATGGGGAATGTAAGGGTTATACGGAATATAATTAGGAGGAAATGGTTGCCGGACTAAAGGAAACAAGTGCGGAGGCACGGTGACAGAACTCTGCGCAAGGCCTATGGGTTGAGCCACAGATGAATTAGAGCACGACATTGAAGGAGCTTGAGAATTCCCACCCTGCAGCAGCCAATGGATATATATATAAAAACTTAGTCAGACCAAAAATAGCAGACACAAAAAGAGAAGAGATAGAGTGGTGTGGGGAGGGAAGGAAGATAAGGATTTCACTACTTCTTGAACATTCCAAAACTCCAAAGGAACTGATAGAGTGGTGTGGGGAGAGAAGGAAGATAAGGATTTCACTACTTCTTGAACATTCCAAAACTCCAAAGGAACTGTGGAAATGAACAGCTGACAAGCGCCAAAAGGCACCAAATAAGATGCATAATTTATGTCAAATAGCTTTATTATCAAGCAGAAAAACATTCTTCTACAAGTAAGGTCACAAGAATATCCAGCAAAATAACTTTCCTAGCAGAAGTAGAGAAAACATTTTCCAAATCGACACCCTCAAACTTCCCCAACCCCACCCACCCCCAAATCGACACCCTCACCACCCCTAGACCCCGACCACACCTTACTAGGGTCGGGTCTGAGCACGACCCCTATCCCAACCCCCTAACCCCACATTGACCAGAACTTTGACCCATATCCTGACCCTCGACCCTAAGCATGAGCCCCGACTGCAAACCCCAACCTTGGACCCAACCTAGAACCTCTAACCCGAGTTAGATCCCTCCCCCCGTCCTCAATCTCGACCCCCAACCCTGACCCCTGATCCCGACCCAATCCCAACCTCAAAACCCGTTTTCGAATCCCGATCCAACCTCGACCCCAGACCAGGACCCCAACGCCGCGCTCCCCCCTTCCTCACCCCTCAACCATTTCGTCTCCCATAATGTCTAATCTAAATTATATATTTTTCATAAATTATTTTTTGCTAGCTAACCAAACACCAGAAAATAAGTAAGAAAATCACTTATTTCCAAAATAATATTTTCCAGGAAATCATTTTCAGTGGAAAACATTTCCTTCATACCAAACACGCCCTTAATGTATTTAAGAATTTTTCGTTCATATCCATCTCTGTTGGTATAAAAGAAAGCATTGGCTGCATATTAAGTGTCTTACCCTGGGCATACACAAGTATAGTTGTTTAAGTTAATTGTTGTCCAACACAAAATGAAGCACCACCACTCAAGAGATGATGTCTACTCTGACTAGACATGGTCCAGATCAGATCTTGTAGAATGAAAAACCAAATAAACAACTAATCTGCAAGTGAACCAAGAAGTTATGCCACATTTGTTCTATCTTAAAGTAGTCCTTCAATTGCCCACACAGCAAGATCTACCCATTCAAATTATTTATAGAGTTACCATTGTCTTATGTAACGGGCAATTGACTAAGTATTCAATTTGACAGCACAAACAGAAGCAAGGGCAAAAGAATACTTTAGAATGAAATATGGAGAGTAGAGATGTTTTAGGGCCACAATGACACACTTGCTGTTCTGGTCCCTCAATACGTACAAGTTGGGGCCCTAGCATGGGTGGCACAAAACCCAAGCTATAATCACTGGGCGTCTGCAGAAGTGGCAATAGTGAGCCTGCAGGTACCTCCGGCTTTGACTGATCATACACAGGAGAGGCACCAGATACCTCAAAAGGTGATATATTTTCAGATCCATGCTGGTGTGAAAGCGGATTGTCAGGATAATCACCTCCCTGAGCTGTGCTGAAGATGCATTCTGGTAGCTGCAATTAGTTCTGTATGGTGATGAGAGAAAAGAGTACTCAGTGTAAGCATAATGACATGGTCATCCTTGTGTGGCTATAAGCTACACTAGAAAAAATCTTGACAGTCCAGAGGCAATTTTGTAGAATCTTCATCAAAATGTTATACATGATTACAAAAGAATATTGGCATGCTCTCAGACCACAACAAATCAGTAAAAATGCTTCAGTAGACACATTAGATATATAAAATCACAAATGAATACAAAAGCATGACATGTCACTCGTTACCGACCTCCCGGTTTCCATGGAAGTTCTATCATTAGCTGGAACAGTCTCCACAGGCATCGAGTCTTTGCCGCAAGCTTATGCTTGGATCAAATTGTGGATCCAAACTACCAAAAGTCAATCCACTCCTAAAAGATTCAGGTACTTGAAGATGATTCGGAAAAATAACAGGCTGACAACGGGAAGAGATATTTAACTTTTCCAATTTCATGTCAAGCTGTGGAACTGCTTTTTCCATGGCAGAATTTAGCTTATAAAGTGAGTAGCTAAGTAGCTTCAGTTCATTTACACATATTTGCAGTCAACATACATGAATACATTCTAAACTAACATCCAATTTTAAAGCTTCGGAGCAGCTTAAAATGCATACTACTGTTAACAATTATTTCATCCTACAATAGATTCTTTGTCAGACTCATTAACCTGACAAAGACATGGTCCCTTTAAAACCGTTTTATTAAATTCCTTAGTGCAAAGTAAATACATACTTAACAGAACTTCATGTCTTTTGTTAACACCTAACTGACTACATGGACAGCAATGAGGTGCATACATATCCAATTTCTCATGCCTTTCACATCATAAAGATCACTCTAACTATTCAGGAGTAACATGATAGAACTGCACGCTCGATATCTCCTTTGGGTAGTGCCAAAGATCCTATAGGCATGACATCTATATTCGTTCAACTTAAAGTCATTCTTCCGATCATTCAAAGTAAACGTAATCAGATTAATATTCTAGGATTAAGCATTTTCAATAACCTTCAGGTCCAAGTTAGCAGGGGTTTTTCTCATTCGTATTTAACATAAATAGAGAGGTCTAAAAACATATTCTATTGAACTGATTTCCAAAGTTTAAGGATCTAACTAGCAATAAATATTAGGGTCATACAAGGTCATCAAGCTACCTAATAATCTACCACAAACTTTAAAGAATTAGAAAAACAGCACCAACACACATGTTCCTTTATTTCATGGAGGAACAATAAATTCATATGGACATGGTTTCTAAAGTAATGGAAAGAAATACCATTAAGCAAACATGTGATTACTTTAAATAATGAAACAAAGCTAACCTATACTTTGGCAAGCTCTTAATACAAAGTTCCTAGAATCCTTCTGGTTTTTAGAACTCTACATGAACTTAATTATTATAAGTGCTTTTAAATACATTGTCAGTACAGAATCTTCAAAGAAGCTTTTAAAGTGACACTCTATTTAAATAGCCAGACAAATTTCAACTTCATGTATAGCAACTAAATTACAAGTCTTCTATAAGGAAATTCTAACACATGATTTTTTAATTTATGGCAGTACCTACATCAGAATCTATTGCATACAGACGAAGGAAAATATTAAGCCATGACTTCTAACAAATGCAACAAGAACAAAGAGACGAACTTGAGTCAATTGAGTACAAAATAAGGATACATACTGCCATGCTATCTAAATGAAAAACGAGACTAACACATTTAGAAGCAAGGATTACAACTAAATAATACTTGAACCGAAAATAAAAAGAGGAGGTTGCTGACCTTTTGTGGTGTAGGAACTGGATATCTCCGGCCTCTACTGCGCAAACGACCGTCAAAATACAAAATGAGCACGACGATGCCTCTGTTATGGTTAAACAAACCAATAGAATCTATTAAATAACATTAAACACAAGAAAATAAGCAATCTATATAAAATATAAGAAAGTTCCAAACCCCTTTTACTTTTCTTTTTTCTTTTTCAAGACTAACAGCTTGTTTAGATGGTTGTTACGTATCGTATCATATTGTACTGTACTGTACTGTATCGTTTGATGAATACAATGTTTGGATGGATTGTGTCGTTTCATGGTATCACGCACCTGTGATATGATGAATAAACTTGCAATATTATAAAGAAAAATTATGATACGGTATATAAAAAGGTAGGGTAAATGATAAAATAAAATTATTTAATAATAATGAAGGGTGGGATTGAGAGAAAAACACAAGGAAACGACGCGACCACACCAAATCGGTCGTTACATAAAGTATCACATTTCATCATTACGTAACGACGGATTTAACGATACGATACAATAAAATTTAAGTAACAATCAAAACAAACATTGTATTTAAAGTAACAATACGATACGATAGGTAACAACCATCCAAACAAGCTGTAAACAATCAGAAAGTTGTAATAATATCAACTACTTTATTTGGTATTTGCAATTCAATTCTAATTATAACCACTAAAGAATAATTGATATAAAAAATCCCATCAATTTTTGGGATATTCATAAAGAGATCGAGCATCTCAAAAATTTCATAAATTTGAAATATTCACAAAAAGATCAAGCATAAAATAATATCTTTCTCAAAGTCGAATTGATCAAGATCTACGTCTTCCTCATGATCAAATGAAATGCAGCCGGACAGGCGAACACTTCTTATGGAGAATAATCCAGAGAGGATCAAGGGAACAAACCGAATTATACTCACGATTGATTAATAAAATTACTTCTTTTTTTCTAAAAAAAACACTAAAGGATAATTGCATAGGCTAAAATCGGAAAAAACTAAAATGAAACATGGGAAACCTAATTAGAGATATTTACTTTACTAATTAGAGATATTTTTTTGATTTAATTATTTCCTTAATATTTCTTTGCTTTCTTTCTTCTTCTTCTTCTTTATCACCCGCCATTAATAGGATACTTTTGAAATAGTAGCTTTAAATATAGGCAAATCTCCTTTTCTTCCACAAGCAAAACATCCTAATAATACTCCATCGTCGTAGAAAATATATTTTTATCATTTATAACATTTACACCTTTCTTCCGTATAAAATCCATACAAAGAAAAATAGAGTAACAATATAGTCCAAACATTCAACTGAAAGACTAAAGAGTGGGTAGAATAGTAGAGTACAGACAGAAAATATTGACGTACGAGACATGATATTATACAATCTTATTATTGATAACATGTAATAGTACCAAGAATTAACGTCGTGAGGAGAACACATCGCTGCTAAATATCCGCTCTGATTTTATCATTTTGTGATCTCTCCTCCTTTGCCTCAAATTTGATTTCTCGCAATTGTCAAGCTCTCGTCCAGATCTTTTTCATCTGGATTTTGAGACCAATTTTTGCTTCAGTATTCTCAAGAAGAATGCCAATTCCTTATGAGAGCTATGACTTATGAGAAAATATGGACAGAATAGTTGTTAATGTTCATAATTACCATTCATTCTTGAGTTAATACCTACCATGAAAATTGTTGTTACAAAAGCAAATTCAACGTTTTTTAGGTGTAGTTAATATTAGTAGAACTTTTGAGTGTTAGAAAAACTTTTGAGCTCTTCAACGGTTTTTTGGGCTTTTATTAGACAAAGCAAACAACTAATTACTCTATTAGGATTTATTGACTATTTTGGGTTAACACTCGTTTCAGGCATTTTTATTGATAAATTTATTCCTATTCTTTGATTTGATAATTAATGAGAAGAGTGAAGGAAAAATGTCCAAAAAAGGAGATAATAGATAAATACAATTGCGGGGCATTAGAAGGTGACACATCACCTTGCCAATTCCCATATATATATATATATATATATATATATATATATATATATATATATATATATATATATATATGTTATACAAAAAAGGAAAAGAGAAGNAATACTTATTTCGCCGATAAATGAAGCTTCTAAAAAATTGATGAATACGTATAAAGATACTACAATAATTATTGGGATTATCCTCTAAATTTTTGTCTAAAAGTTTTCCATAGTTGTAAAACTTACCTCAAGCGAATTCCTCTTGCTATTTGTATCATACAGGGCCCGCGTAGTTGGGGATTTGAGTTGAGATTTCCATATATTTCTGAGCAATAATATCTTCCTCTTTCCGCTAAGTTTTTTCAACTTTTTCTAAAGTTTAAGCAACTCTCCACTATCTCCCCCGTTGACCTCCATTTGTTTGAAATTACAATGTTATATTCTACTAGTAATATTATTTTTGCACAGAAATTTCCCCCTTTGGCGAGCATTTGTATCACCGTCCTTCTTCTTCATTTAATTTGCACAGCTTAAAGCAGCGTCTTTTAACTTCCCATGGCTTTATTAACTTCTGGTACTAAGAGAAAGAAATCGTCGTTAGCATGGTCTTGCCTAATACCTTGTCTAATCCTGCTTTCCGCTGCTTTCTTTATAGGAAGCGCCTTCATTGTCACTGAATGTAAACAGGTAATTATTAATTAAGGCACATATTACTCTTCTCTTCATTCACATAACTCTTCAATATATATTCCACGCTACATGCAGTGACTTCTTTTGATTTTGAATTTACTAGACGTTGAGTTAATTTATTGCCTTTCTTCGTACAGAAAATTTTAGGATGGCAATTGATTGAATCCCTCAAAATGACTAAACCTACAATCTGTGAGGTTTGTCTATCAGATCATCTCTTTTGGGTTTAGTTATAGAAAATGTGTAATATGCAAAATATTGTGTTGTTATACTTTTTTGTTTTTATTGTATTATAGGATGAGTGCAGGCCTGAAGGAAGCGAGACACTGCCCAGAGGTATTGTGGCTAAGACCTCTGATTTAGAAATGCATCCGCTTTGGGGTCCCCCCAATAAAAAGGTACTAAGTGTAATTATTGTTTTGGTAAAAGATTTTAATGATGGCCTTAAACTTTAAGAGGCAATGTTCTTTTTCCTTGTAGAAATCAAAATCACCATTGAGTTTACTAGCTATGGCAGTTGGAATAAAGCAGAAACAGAATGTCAATGAAATTGTTAAGAAGGTGAGAGGCAATAATTTATCTGCACTTACACAATTCTCATCCCAGCCTTTGACTAAAACAACCTTTCTCATTTGCAGTTTCCAGAGAGTGATTTTGTCATTATGCTTTTTCATTATGATGGTATCGTGGATGAATGGAAAGATCTAGAATGGAGTAGCACTGCTATTCACATTTCTGCTATTAATCAAACTAAATGGTATCCTAGGTCACACTGGTCTTAATCTTTTAAGACAATGTGTCGGTCAAAAGCATTAGCTGACTCTTTATTCTCTTGTTATCTAGGTGTTGCCAAGAGGTTCTTACACCCAGATATTGTTGCAGAGTATGCTTATATATTCCTGTGGGATGAAGATCTTGGAGTTGAAAATTTCAACGCTGGACGGTATTATCACTGATGTAGCTACTAAACCTATAAAAGATGCAAAATCTATCTTCCAAACTGCATACTACTAGTATAAATTTGTTGCAGTATGACTTCAATGAGCTCTAAAAGGCAATCCCTCTTTTCTATTAGAAGGTAACTAGCATTCCAGTCAATAGGCATCTGATAGTGGTCATTTTGACCACTGGACTGAAAGTCTCAAAATAATCAATACCTTCCCTTTGTATATCCCCCCTGACAACCAACCTGGCTTTCAACCTTTCAATTGACCCATCTAATTTGTGTTTGACCTTGTAGACCCATTTACAAGGCAATGCCTTCTTGCCTGGGGGTAAAGGGACTACATCCCAGGTGTGACTGAGTTGAAGAGCTTGAATTTCAGCTTCCATAGCTTTTCTCCATCCAAGATCTTGGGAAGCTTGAGTATAGCTAGTAGGTTCAGAAACTGTGGAGATAGATTTGAAGATATCCTGATTGTTAAGAGAAATGGCTCCTAAAGAAAACACATTAGGATGAGAAACATGATGAAAACAGGATGAGGTAAGATCAGAGAAAACTATGCTATTGCAGACATAGTCATTAAGATATGTAGGTTTCTGGGAAATCCTCTCAGATTTTCTTATAGGAGGTGGTGGTATTGGGATTATAGGCTATGAACTAGGGTAAGCAGTAGGAGTTGAAGTAGGAAAAGCAGAATCTGGAGGGTTGGTAACAGATGGAGGAGTACCAGGATTATTGAGAGAAATAGGGCTGTTGTTCTCAGAAGTATTTGGATGTAGAGGGTCGGGTGAGTGTGACTGATGATTAATGGTTGAGGTGGGAGATGGAAGATCCTGAGAAGTAGGTTCAGTAGTGATAGACAAGTGAGGGAAGAAAGGATAAGAAGGGAAAAATGAGGTTGAGGTCATAGGAGCAGAAGCAAAAGGAAAAATTGTTTCATGGAATTTAACATCTCTGGAGGTAAAAACCTTCTTGGAATGTAACTCTAGCAATTTGTATCCTTTCTGATGTTGTGCATATCCCAGAAAAATACAAGCTTGTGCCCTGGGATCAAATTTGCTTCTGTGTTGTGATAGAGTAGAGGCATAGTATAAGCATCCAAATGACTTGAGTTGTTCATACTGTGGACTCCTTTTAAAAAAAATCTCATAAGGTGTTTTTCCTTTTAGAACTCTAGAAGGAAACCTGTTGATTAGATATGTAGCAGTTAAAACACACTCTCCCCAGTATTGAATAGGAACTTTTGAGTGAAAATACAAACTTCTTGCCACTTCCAAAAGGTGTCTATGCTTTCTTTCAACTACCCCATTCTGTTGGGGTGTTGACACACATGAAGTCTCATGTAAAATGCCTTGAGATTGAAAGAAATCAGACTGAAAGGATCCCTTTCCCAGTTCCATTGCATTATCAGATCTGATTCTTTTAACTTTCCTTGCAAATTGTCTCTCTACCATAGTTAAGAAAGACTGTAAGACAGTGAAAGCATTGCTCTTAGAACTTAAAAGAAAAGTCCAAGTTCCCCTGCTAAAATCATCTACCACAGTCAAAAAATATCTTTAACCATTGTAAGTGGTACTTTTGTATGGTCCCCATACATCAATATGAATAAGATCAAAAATTCCATGAGTTCTGATTTGACTCAAAGGAAAAGGTAATCTAGTTTGTCTAGCTTTTGGACAAATATCACACACACAATTGAAATTGGAAGGAAAATGAATGAACTGAAGATTTTTTATTACTAAAAATGGCAAATGCCCCAATCTAACATGCGATTAGAGTCCTGTGTATTCGAGCTAGAAATAGAACAAGAAACTTCACTAGGAACAAGAATGGAATCACTTCCTTTTGGAATTAAAAATACATTGCTATTTAAACTAAAACCAGAACCTATTTTAGGTGGGCTAGGCTCCAGCAGGTACAATCCTCCTCTTAATTCACCAAAAACTTGTCCCCTCCTCATTAAAGGGACCTGCATTATGCATCCACTAGAAGTTAGATTGAGTGAGCAATGAAACTGGACACAAAACTTATGGACTGGAGTAAATTATATTTGAAAGAGGGAACGTAAAGAACCCTTTCAAGAATCATATCAGACTAAATAAGAACTCTACCTATGTGTGTGACATATAATTGAAATGAGTTAGGAAGACTAATATGCATAGGAACATGAAGGGGATCTAAGGATAAGAAACAATTTGAATCAAAACACATGTGTTCAGAAGCCCCTGAATCAATGATCCAGGTTTTTGTGTTAAAAGCTGCCAAACAAGTTCCAGCATATTTAAGTATAGTACCAGCTACTGCATTTGCATTGATTGCAGTTCCTGGCGGTGTTGTATTTCCAAGTTGTGCCTGTTTGATCAGGTTCATCAGCTCAGACACTTGTTCCTTACTGAAAAACTGGGTTTGAGGTGTTGGATCATTGCTTTGAGTTCTCCCATTGTCATTGTCCTGTCCTTCAGTTATAGCATTAGCCTTGACTTGTGTCGATTTAGTGAATTGGAAATCATCTGGAAATCCATTTAGCCTGTAACAATCTGCCCTGACATGCCCAGTTCTCATGCAATGTGTACAGCTCACATTAGGATTAAATTTTGCTTTTCTTCCCTTAGTTTTATGCTGTGTGTTATTAACCTTTTGTGAGTTAGTCCATGTCTTTTGTTGTGGCTGATTGTTGTTTCTTTGTGGTCCCATACCTTGAACTCCTACCATGAATGAGGAAGAATCACCATTCAACTGTGGTCTTGCATATATCTCCCTTTGATTTTCATCTTGAAGAAGGAGTGAATAAGCAAAATCTATTCCAGGCAGTGGATTCATCATAAGGATATTTCCTCTTGCCTGGGAATAGACATCATTTAGTCCCATTAGAAACTGAATGATCCTTTGGTCTTCTAAGAATTTTGTGACTTTCCTTTTTCCATCACAAACACAGTCACAAGAGCAGACCAGGTGAGAGTTGAGAGAATCAAGTTCATCCTATAATTTCTTAAGTGTGGTAAAATATCCAGCAATAATGTTGTTACCTTGAACTAACATTGATATCTCTTTATGCAGTTGGTACAGTTTGGCTCCATTAGTTTGGCCAAATCTGTGTTCAAGGCTGTTCCACAAATCTCTTGCAGATTTTGAATAGATGACACTGTCACCTATCTCCTTGGATAAGGAGTTCAGAAGCCAAGAAGTCACCATGAAGTTGCATCTACTCCACTATGGGTGATCTTGTGCATCAGGTTTTGGCTCCTTACAGACACCATTTATGAAACCTATCTTATTTTTGGCTGAAAGTGCTATAAGGATTGATCTCCTCCATCATGCAAAGCCTCTACCATCAAAGGGAGTGGTTACAAGACTTAAACCGGGAGCATCAGATGAGTGAAGGAAATAAGGATGATTCACATCCTGTGAGATTGTTTGACTGGTTGAACCAGAGGCAATGGGAGTAGAAAGAGTATGAGCAATTTCTTCTCCTGCCATAGATGAATACTATGTTCTGAGAGAAGGGAGATTTGGATCGAGCTACTGCTGCTCTGATACCATGAAAGAAAACAGAAGGAATTGTGAGAATTTTCTCTGTATGTTGTATTGATAGTGTAAAGTCCTATATATACAGATTTATCCTACTATAAAATAACAAATAAAGAATATTCCTATACACTTGTACTACTCCTATTTGTCTACAATGTAACAGAAAAACCATAAATTATTCTTTCCCATGTGCTCATGTGATAAGCACGTGAGATTTGCTTCTTGAATCTTCCATATGTACATGTGTTAAAATAATGATCAGATGGTTGAGAATAAAAAATCATGACCATCCATGATTCTTCCACGTGTAAGGCTCAACTTCAATTGATTAGAGACATTTAGACAACATAACATAGATAAGTCCGAAAAACTTTGGTATGTATCTGAGATGTCTCTTCTTCTTCTTCCTTCTCTTTTCTTTGTAAAAATGGCTGTGAAGAAGAAGCCATCGTCTTCTTCTCTTCATCAATTATCTAGAAGGGTCTAAAAGGTTTAATCCCAGCCATATATTTAAGTGGCCTTGGCTTTGGATGGCGACACGTGGATGGAAGAGTGGGAGGTGTGCGTGAGGGGTGTGTTTGGCGTGAGCTTTGGTATATAGGGTCGTGTGCTAATTGTGTATATGTGACCGTTGGCGCCTATGTGGCGTCTATAGTAGAAATAGCACGATCTAGCCAGTTTTCGGACTGGTCATTCAAAAATAGCCAGCGTTTACCAAGTCAATGAAAAATAGTCACTATTTTGCTGCAACAGAGACCGGTCAAGCATAATATACTGGAGTTCGGTGCACCTGTGTATGAACTTCCAGCATATTATGGTGGACCGGTATACTTTGCTGGCTCCAGTATAATATACTGGAGACTGGAGCATCGGTGCCCCAAACTCTAGTATAATATGCTGGACCAGTATATTATGCTGGAGTATTTTTCCGGATTTTGAACAATGTTTTTGTTCAAATTTATCTTTACATGAAAAGTGACTAATTTCGATTACTTTTGAAATTGTGGCTATTTTTGAATGATCACTTGTAAATCTGACTATTTTTGAATTTCTGGAGGAAAGAACATAGTAAATGGGCTCGTAGGTATGGGCCTCGATTTGGGCTATTTTGTGGGCCGAGTTGGTTGATCCAGGGGGTCTAAAAATATGAAAATGTATTATAAGAATTGGCCCCTTTTTGAATGATATTGGACTTTACAAAGATGATCCAATTTACATTTAAAAATCTTTTTCTCTTTAACTTTCACTATGCTTCCATAATTCTAATAATTTATAATAGAATATTATATTTTATAGTTATAAAAATTCATGCATGTATACATATAATAAATCAAAA